ATTCTTTTTGTAATGTACTTGTTGTTGATATTTCTTTTCCTAGATATACAATGCAAAGTTTATGCTTCTAATTTCCTCTTCTACTTCATTTGTTATTTAATAAGTACTTTTGAACCTGTCATGAACAAGCCATTGTACTGTTAGAAGAGACAAAATTCCCCCTTTGACCCAGCATGTGAAAAATAAAAAAAATAAGCACAATAAATAAGTAAAATTTATAAGAAGGTGAACATAAATAACCCAGGGGGATAAAAGCATTGGATGCTTCCAGGATACAGGCAGGTTACAATTTCAACACATGACCATGGAAATCTTTATGGAGAAGATTAATTTTGAGAAAGGGCTGAAAGGTGAAGGAGTGAGCCCTGTCTTGCCACTAACTTTCTACACAATGTAAACTGATTGTTATGACCTTGGGTGTGACCTTCTTCTTCATTTTAACGGGTGTGATTTTCAGTGTTTTTCTTCTTAGGTTTCCCATTCAAAGGCACACACACTATTTCTTTTTACTTTTTGAGTGTTTTAAAAGGAAATTTGATTTTTATCATATGTCCTTTAGGTCCACAAAAACGAGTATATGAGTTTTTTTTTTTTAATTTTTTATCTCTGTATGTATAATATAATATTAATATTAATACTAAATGGCTTCTGGCCATGTTGGATTATATTCCTTTAGCGTGCTGATAGACTATTTTGTCTAATATTTTATTTAGAGTTTTCCATTGATATTCATGAGTGGTACTTCTCTCTGATTTCTCATTTGCAGTCCTTATAATTCTTGAAACTCTTGGTATGGATACTTCGTTTCAGAAAGCAAATAGGAATAATATCCCCTTTCTTCCTCATCATTAACTGTTTAAGCACTGGTGTATCCATCTTCTCTTAAATGTTTGGGAGGCCATCAAGACTCTACTTGGGCTGTTTGCCTTGCATGATGTTTTGAAGGAAGATTCTGTGGTTGCTGGTCAGCTGGGCTAAAGAATCAGCAGTGACTGTCAAGATCAGCATCACTGAAGTAACATCAGTTGCTAAAACAATGGATGCTACTCTGCTGAGACTTGGGAATTTGGGGATGCACTGTCTTTTGACCCTAAAGTTGTTAAAAAGAGATGTTCATGTTTTTAAATTTTCAAGCATTATTGTTTTCTAGCTTTCTGAAACAATTACTCATTTTTCAATAAATCATGATTAAATGATAGTGTCTGCAATATGCCTATTTTCTGAAATTTGTTGAACTCTTTTTGGTGGCCTGATAGGCACACAGAAAGATGATCTAGTCTCTGTTTTCAATATGAAGACAGCGATGTAAACCATCCACTTGCATTATTCATTTTACTTTAGCTTTGGTATGAGCATACTTTTTTTCTTACTCAAGAAGTCGTGTGTCAGAATATTGTCTAATTAGTATGCTTCTGTTAATTTTTCTAGTGTCTCACAACTCCTGCTTTATATATATGTCACTGTAACATTATTTAATGAAGTCATAACATCTTGTATATTTATTGAAAATTTCACAGTCTAGGGGAAGGTTCAATTATTTATTTAATTCTAATAGAAGTTTCGGGACCTAAACTTTCCTTTTCCTTGTCAATATTTTGACCTCTAATTCAATTTTTAAATATACCTATGGGAATATTTAAAACCTCAAAAGTTGTTTTAGGTGTATGTGTGTGTGTGTGTGTGTGTATACATGTGTTTTACAGTGAATATAAATCCACACAGATTTTTACATTGTATCATGATATCAATAGCATTTAATACACTAACTTGTAGAAGACAATTTCCCAAGTGGCACTTTAAAAAAAAAAATGGTAGTGGTTGGAAGCTGTCACATCCCAGGAAATTTTCCATGATGTCAGGACTGTGGGAAGAGCAACATGATTCTGAATTTCTTCTTTTCCTTTTATAAAAATAGTAATCTACCTTGATAGAGATTATCACCCTGTTTCTGTGGATGTCAATGTTTATTTAGTAATTATTTGGGAAGCATTTGTAGTCAAGCATACTTGGGAGCACACAACAGTGTGCACATAGACACAATTTATCCCATCAAAGATTTCTAGTCTGTAAATAAATACATACGCTTAGAGTCATCATGGGAATAAATAACTTGAAGGGCACTGAGGAGTCGAGGATTTTGTTCTAGTATGTGTAAGTAGACTGACATTTGACCAAAAAAACCAAAATAAACAAACAAAAACAAACAAACAAAAACCCCCAACCCCCCCCCAAAAAAAGGTATAGTCTTACACTATAGCACAAAATTGTGTTTCATCAGACAGCAAAGTGCAAGAACTATCAATATCTCTCAGATTGAGGGGGGACCTGTTCCAGTTTGTTTTCTGTTTCTATGATAAATACCACAAACAAAAGCAACTCAGGGAGGAAAGGGTTAAAGTCTATCATCAAAGGGAATCAAGGCAGAAATTCAAGGCACAAACCTGGAGGCAAGAAATGAAGCAGAGGCCATGGAGTAATAATGCCTGACCCTGTGGCTTGCCCAAACTATCTTTCTTATATAGCTCAGGCCCACTGGTCAATAGATGGCAAAGCACGTAATGGACTGGGACTTCTTTTATCAATAAGAAAAACGTCTTACAGACATGCCCACATACCTGTCTGATGGAGGGAATTCCTCAGTTGAGGCTTCTCTCCCATGTGTGTCAAGCTGACAACTAAGATTACCCAGCACACACATAGTCTTTCTGTGATTTTGTAGCACATATCTAGAGACATGGGTATCCCAAATCAACACTTGGGTAGAGGTGGCCTAAGTCTGGAATTTTCATTGGAGATTGTTCTATGTAAATCGGCATGCAAACACATTTTAATAATTTTGCCCTATAGTCATTTGACAGCATAAGCTTAAGTTTTCAGGCCACGTGAGAACATAATACTTAGGTAAACAGGCTTTCTGCCGGCATCAGCAGCTATTCTGTGACAAAAGATTGAGAATCCAGAATGATGGAGGAGGAAATGATTTGAAGAGCAAAATAAGACACAGCTTCCTTTGCATTCCTGCTAATTGTAGTAATGATTTGCATATCCTGTTTGGGAGATGTGTCCTATTGTTTTAAGACAATAGGCTGATTCTCATAGGCAGCCTATATCTTAGACATGGCAAGAATCAAAATCTGTTGTCATTCATAACTATTGAAACAGTTCTTGAGTATTGATGACATAAGAAAATTTAAAATTGTAAACTCTCCACATGCTGCTTTGATTTTTATAATAACTGTCCTAATTTTGGGTGCATATATATTCAGAAATACTGTGAACAAACCCAAATGTTGACAAAAGGGTTTAAAGTCTTGAAACAAAAACAAGCTTTTTTCTTTCCTTTTTTTTTTTTCCCCTGGAAGGTCTTCAGTGGTAGAGGAGAAGCCCACACAACTCTCTTTGGAAAATATCTCTAGAATTTAACAACTTTATATTTTGTTTTTTCCAAGTCTGGTTATTAAAGTTTGTAGTACTGATGGCAGTAACCTCTCCTCAGGTATATATATGTTTCTCTTATTGGTTAATAAATAATGCATTGTTAGCAAATAGGAAAACAAATAGGCAGGACTAGGAAAGGTAGAGGATTCTGGGAAATGTGGTAGAGTTATGATGTGATCTCGAGAAGAGATGATGCAAGTCTGGTAAGACTATATATATATATATATATATATGTATATATATATATATATATTAGTGATTATGGATTAATATTTAAGACAGAGCTAGCCAATAAGAAATGCCAACAGCTTTATATAAAGAAAACTGATTATTTTCCTTTTTCCTTTCTATTTTCTCCCCTTCTCTCCCTCTCTCTCTGGAAGCTCCCATGCATTATTTCAGGAGTTATATAAGTATGGAGCAATGTAGGGTAGGAAAAGGAGTCCTTGATTTAAGGTTAGTTGTAGTGTAATAAGAGAAACTTCTCAGTTGCAAACACGGTCACATAGTTTAATAAACAATTATGCCAAACAGCAGATTTCTCAGAAAGTTGTCTACCTAAGATGCCAGGTATGAGCAGGTGTGACAAGCACATGCAAATAATCATAAACACATGGATAAAATGAAGAGTGCGAGTTGAAGGGAGGATTGGTTATGGGTGGAAAACTGGATTTATAAATACGGATTAAAACCAGCAGATTTAGGGCTGAAGATGATTCAGTGACTAAGAGTGCTTGTTATTTTTTGTTGTTGTTGTTGTTGTTTTTTAGAGAACTCAGATTCAGTTCCAAGTACCCACATCAAGTTACTTACAGCTGCCTGTAACTTTAGTTCCAGGGTATCTGCTGGCATTAGGCTTCTGCTGGCATGTGCACAAATATGGTGCACATGCATACATGCAGGCAACCACATATATAAATAAAACTAATACGTTAATCTTTGTAAAAAAAAAAAAACTAGTACATTGTTAGATTGCCATTTGTGGTTGTAGAATGTATTACAAATGCTTGAAACTGATAGAACTTTCAAAGGAGTCTCTGTAAATCTGGGGGAAATGATCGAATGTTTATTAGAACTCACACAGGACACATTTGGAAGAGATTCAGATGGTGGACCCAATATAGGACTTTGTTCAGGAAGTAGAGTGTCACCAGGCTTTCAAACATGAGTGAAACACCTTAATGGCCCTTGCTTATTTTTATTGTTTGATATTTTTTTGTTGTTGTTGATTTGAGAGGTAGAGGTAAAACTGTAAGATTCCCTTGCTAGTTAAAAAGATTCTGTCTCTGATAAGCAATTTTAATTAAAACCACAACTAATTGAAGAGGGGAATTAGTGTGGTATCCTGTCATGATTTCAAATGGACAAACACATCTGTGTTTATCTTAGCTTGAAGGTCATATTCTCAGGGGGTTCAAACTCCAGAAATGGTTAGGGAGAAAACATTAAGGTCTTAGCCTTGAAAAGACATCATCATTTGAAACTGAAGACGTTACCCATGAACCTTTCCTATGGTTATATGCACAATTGTTGTATATGATATTTGTGATGAATTCACTTGCCTGGGTCCACAAGTGGAGAGTCTTCAAGCGTTGGTTGTGTATGTTCAGAGAGAAAAAAATTAAGTACACAATCACTCTGAAAAAAAAGAAGATAAAATACAGTAGTAAAATATTTCTTCATTTCTTATACTTACCTATTAATGCTGTTCAGTCTTGCATGAAAACATTGCTATTATTATATGATTTCTAATGAGCATATGTTATGAATTCCATAAGTAGAGAAAAATTTATTTGCAACCATACTGTCAATATAATTCTGCTGTGAATTAAGCTAGTCTTTTTATGTGGCTTGAGATCAATTATATTTCTTCAAGAGATTCGAGGTTGCTATGTTGCTTGAGGTCATCATAAATGTTTACATTCTGTAATTGTATAATTATCCACAAATCTCACATCTCTCTATCCTGGAAAATATAAAGCTTTAGATAAAGATTTCTGAGAAAAATTTCTTTCGAAATGGCATAGTTGCTTGCTTTGTGAGAAATCATTACTCAAGTTTCAATTCAGAAAGTGTTCACTGGTGATTGAATTCCTTCTCAGCATCCAGAAATGCAAGGGCATTGTAAGAGACAGGTAGATGCACAAGGCAATGTCTCTTTTAGGATAGCCGAGGGAGATCAGCATTATTAAAGGGAACAAATTCTAGTCATGTAATATTTGAGGTATGAAAATGGGGATCATTGCAAACAGACTGCCTGCCATTTAACTTCAACTCCAAGTGGATACATGCCTGGTTAATCTGAGAAGAGCTTTTCCTCAGTGAAAGTGGCATTTATTTTGTTGTAAGCTATTAATAATCAAAGTAGATTCTCCCCGAAGACATTCCATGGCTGTGTAAAGGGCACACTGAATTACTGATTACATCATCTAGACATGCTGATGTGCTCATGCCTGCCATGCCCTGCATGGCAGCCTTTTCTCATTCTGTATATTGGTCTTTCAAACCCCATCAAGAAACTTTCACTTCTAAGTCTAACTTCTCTGTTGATGACTCTGTCTCCATTTCAGTGACAGGATTTGTCACTTACTTTTCTGCTACTGGACTTTCTCCTTTTTCCTTCCATACATATTGCTGCTGTTTGCTTCCTTACTCCTCTTTTCGCTTATAATTTAAGCTCTTTTATTTTAAATCTGTCACATTTCAATATATTGTTTCAGGATGACCTTGGTGACATTTGTATTGACTCACAAATCTTTTGTCTCTTAAATCTCAACACTACGTCCGAATTCCTTTTGACTGGCATTCCTGACTATTCAAAGATGTGTATCAAGTCATGTGAGTCACTGCATTGTTCTGTTTCTCCTGTGTCCAGGCTCAAAACAAGTGCTTCTTTGTCCCAGTTTTCCTTTCCATGAATCAAATGAAATGCTAAGTTCTATGGTGGCAGCTGCAGAGTTTAGGGGCTACAGTGAAAGTTACTTTCTCTGAAGCAGGAACAGAATTACTGGCAGATGAGGAGTCTGAGCTGGAAGTTCGTGTCCTTAGGGTGATTTGAAAGTGCCATGTCACAGAAAGAGAAGCTTGACCCCAGGAGGCTGTCACTGGCGTTGACAGTGACTACCATGTCAGTAGATGTCTTCCTTCTGTGTTACAGCCACTTTTTCCTAGTTCCACACCTTCAGTTTCCATCTGGGTTATGACAGATGGTTCCATGCCTCATCTTGCTAACCCTTTTCTAATGTATCTCTGCAAAACTGGTCTTCCAAAGTACAAATTGAAAAATTAACTTCTTAAATCGTTATATCCCTCTAAAAGAAGGACCTTGCTCATTCTCTGTCCTCTTTACCATGTTTTGTACAGCCCTTTATGTGTAAATGTGCAGATTATAGTTATCTCACTAAAAACCCTGCTTTCTTGATCATCTTTCTTTTCCTACATGTTTCTTGCTTCCTCTCTACCTTGTCCACCCAAAGATGATTACTGATTCTCGTCTTGTGAGCCAATGAGCTACAAACAGCAGACTGAGAACTAATCACTTATGCACAATGTATTTCTGTTCAACGATGTGTCACAGGACATGCTGAGATCTGTCTTCCAATTCAGGTTGCCTTGGTTTCTAGTGTAAATAATCCTATCAACAGTCTATATACATTACAAATTATTCAACTGTTAATTTCTATCTCTATATATTGATATGTTGTGAGAATATAGAACAGAAGCCCATACTTAAGAAATTGAGTTAATATCCAAGAAGCTGATTACATGTTTTGTTTGTTTGTTTGTTTTAAATTTGAATGCTTAAAATCAAATCCCACACTGAACAGAACTCATTGAAGGAAATATGGTCTTCAGAATTCTTTGATGACTAGTCAGTAGTAGTAGTAGTAGTAGTAGTAATTGTTCTTATTATTCTGAGTTTGCCCTTATTAGTCAATGGTTAATAAACTTTCATATTAATCAAAATGTCTTTCCAATTATTTTCTGAAATATCACCACTAGCTAATTATTCCTTTATGTTTATACTGCCATGTCCCTGAATGCTTTAAAATTCTGTGTCTAGGTGAAATATAAGCACTAATTCTTTATTGCAGCAAGAATTTTTATTTCATTTTTTTCTGTTTTTCCTTCTACAAGAGAAACATGATTCAGTGTCAGCGAGATAAAGAAGCTAAAAGGAAAAAGTTAAGCAGGTATGGCAATCTCAACACCCAGCATGAGTTCAAGGATAACCTGGGCTACAGAGTCATTTCTTCTCTTATATCATCTTTATTTCTTCCTTTCTTTCTTTCTTCCTTCCTTCCTTTCTTTTCTTCCTTCATTCCTTCCTCCCTCCCTCCCTTTCTTTATCATCTTAAAAGAAAATTTTATTAAACCAGCATCCACATATACTACAATTTATTTCAATAAAGAAAATTCTTGATTTGTATTTTCCTGTATTCTTTCTCTATGTTTAGAGAAAGTCTGCTGAAAAGTTGTTTTCCTCGCTATATCTCAAATCTCCATCTTTTCGTTTTTACTTGAACCTCTTCCAGACTTTGTAAAAGTCCCAACAGACTTCCATGATTATGCTTCTCCTGACTGAGCTTTCTGCCTGTCGGTATCTCTGATGTAAGCCATCAAACCATGCATGCTACTTCCTGGTGATCTAACCATCTGCTATGACCAGATAACCACTATCTATTTTAAATCGCCCTCTCTCGTTGGATCCCAGTCACTCTATTCTATGGTGTCCGGTTGATTGATCTTCCTCAGTTCTCTCGTTGTGCTGACCTTATCTCCTCAAACTTTAAAATTGGTGGGCTGCCTGATCTGGATTTCTGACTACCACTCTTTTAAATTCATTTCTCAGTGTATTTAGGATTACTTAATCTCTTCCAGTTTACAGTTTTTATGAAGAGATATTTGGGGACAATTCCAATGTGTATTTTCAGCCAAACTTTCGTGCTGAATGTATCTAAACCCCTTCTTGATGTCTTTGGGAGTTTCACAGGAAAAGCAAATGTAATGCTTTCAGTTTCAGAGTGCTGCTTCCCACTCCCTCCTAATGAATGGCTCTTCTGACTTCTCACCTTCACAACATACTCAGCCAATTTGAACTTGTGTGACAAGAAAGATATCTATCTCAGTGTTCTGTTCGTCTGTCGTCTTGATTTGTCAGCTCTTAAAGAGTAAGAATTATCAAACAGAGCAGGGCATTCTTTCTATGTATAACATTATGTATCTGATCAGCACTTCTAAAATTGTGGGTTGTGATCCCTTTGGGGGTGTCGAATAACCCTGTCACAGGGATCACATATCAGATATCCTGAATATCAGATGTTTACATCATGATTCATAATGGTAGTACAATTACAGTGTCAAAGTAGCATTGAAATAATTTTACGGTTGGGAGTCACCACAACATAAGGAACTATGTTAAAGGCTACAGCATGAACACAGTTAAGAACCACTGCATCTGACGAACAAGGAATTAATAGTTCTTGAGCTAAGTGTCATCAGGTAAAATGAAATGTTCTATGAAAATACGTGTGTGTGTGTGTGTGTGTGTGTGTGTGTGTGTGTGTGTGTGTAAGTGTGTGTTATATTTCCCCCTTTCCTAGAATAGACTCTAATATAATTTGTATGAAATTTTAATACTTAATATGCTTTTAAATGAAAAATGAGGACAATAAAAAAACAAACATGAAATCCAATGGGTCAATATTAATTTAAAACCTCCATCAGGGTATGTTTTGTTAAACTCAGAATTCTTATTCATAATATGTTTACCAATCACATTAACCAGTATGTAATTTAAAATGGCTGACTTTTTTAGAGAGCCAATCAATTTGGAACCTAAGTGTTTTTCCTATACTATATTATCAAAGACAGAGCAGAGTTAAAATACATGCACAGCCCAGAATGAATGGAATATAAAACTGAGATTCATTTTTCTCTTTCCTTACAAAAGCACATTAAGCGTTCCCATTTATTAACTAGCTAGCCAACATCTAGCATTGGCTGTAAGATTTAGTGACTTAAAACAATAAGCTAAATCTATTTCTCTCAAATGCCATGGAGTGCCGTAAAGACACAAATTAAAAAAATGAATTCCCATAAGAGTTCTAAATCAAAGTTGAGCAGTAATTGTGTTTTATTGCCTTCTTCATAAAGCAGAATGTCAGCATGTCCAGCCTCTCACATAGCTCAGCCCGCCATCTTCATGTTGGAGTTACATGGAAGAATGAGACTGTGACGAAAAGGGAATGCGTAGAGATGTTTCTGTGATTTGGCTCTCAAATGTCATCAGTGTTTTGCCAGACTGTGGAGACTAATCTTGGCTTTACTGATGGTGCACACATAACATTTAATCCTGCCTGCTATGTAAGCTCAGCTCGTGCCAAGCAAGGAAAGATCACTGCGGTGACAGACGTGCAATTAACATCTGGGTTTAGCGTTGGGGAGTAGGAAACATATGCTCCCCATTAAGACAGGGTTTATCCACTTGGCTTTATTTTGACATTGTGTTCCTGCTTTAAAAATAACATTGTCTAAACTTTAAGTGATATCATTCCCTGTTTGCAGGGACTTCCAGAAATGAGCAGCAGTCCCAAGAATAGGGAAATATCCCAATAAACTCGGCTTTGAGATGCAGC